CTAGTTCAGTTTGAAGAATTAGACTTCATTAATTATATGTAGAGCGAGTTGGATGTGACAACATCTAGATCCAGCATGCCTCAAACCATTCTTTCTCTTGTTGGGCTGACAGCCACTAAAATCATAAAAAAAAAAAGCTTTGAAATGTATTTAAAGGCATTAAATTATTGTTAGTAGTGATGCAAATTATTTCCTAACAGATTACACATATTTATTGAAAACACTTTTCTATCTGGGGTATGAAGAATACATCTTTATAAGGTGGCTACTGGGCAGCTTCTCTGACACTTCGCTATATGACAGTGCTTCCTCACTGCTTTGTAAAGTAGAAATAAAAGTGTCTAGGCATCTTTAGATGTTGGAGGATCAAAGATGCATTTCAACTGAAATGCCCATTTTCTTATTGTTTACATCCCTTATAAATCCAAAACAATTTTTCCAGGGTTTTAAAGAAAACCCTTGTGCAAACAGAAGTGCTTTCCAGTGTGAAAAAGCTCCTACAACACAAAGAACCTTGGTGTTCTACAACATAGTTAAAGAAAAAATTCAGAAATTTCCTTACATGTGTAACTAACACTATGCAACACTGTAGCCTTGCATTTGAAAATGCCTATCTTCCTACAAGCATTAAACCTCGCACTATTGCAATTTAGACCAAATGATGAGACACTCACTCTAACATGGAATACACCAACGTCTTGTCATAGCTATGTCAAGAAATTAGGTTGTACGCTATTAAATTAAAATTGTGGAAAGAAACCAGGGAGTGCCTTTGTCCTGGAAGGAAGATTTGAACACACTTAGTCTTACAAGAATGCCAGAGAGTGGACAGCTGGTCCAGACCTTTTGTTTCACAATTCATCTAAAGGATGCCACTAAGAGTACACAGTTTTGGAAGCAATTTATGGGAACACAAAATAACAAAGGAGTGGTAGGCAAGTGTTTCAGTAATCCCACCTATGTCTGGATCTAAATAATAGTGAGATAAGAAAATAACTGTAGAGGTTAGAATGAAGGTAGAACCATAAATAGACAACACAAAATCAGAACATAAACAAAAAATAACCCACTTTTTATTTTGATAAAGAAATTAAACTCAATCTTAGCAGAAAGAGGAGTCATACATAGTATTTGGCTATTAAAAAACATGTATGTACAGTGCAAGAAAATAACATATTACAAAAAAATACTTTTTGAAAACAACTTAAAATTTTGGCTCTCTTGAGAAGAATTCAGAATTATTTTCAGGCTTACATTTTCTATACAGTGTAGAGCAATCCAAAATACCCATATTCTGGAGGAACATGAAGCACAAATTAGGACATCCACCTGCAGAATTCGGCAGCAGTTAAGGAGGCAAGTCTGAATCACTGTTGTAAACCTGGTTGTACCAATTCTGCCCAAGAACTACTTATCTTCTTTATATAACGTAGCACTATGATCTTGTAAAGCTCCAACAAAGAGACAGTCCACGCTCACTTGAATAGCTATCTTTTCCTTCCTATCTTGATTTTCTTTGCAGATCATGGCTTTATTGCAAAGTCTTGGGTAAAAAAAGATTATTTAAAGGTGAGCTGTTGCCTGGATATTTCCAAGAACATACAAATCACAACCATATTCACACTACTTCTGCTGCTACATCTACAATTTCTTGTCTAAGATCAGTACATTTGATTAACATCAGTGCATTTGGTCCCATAATATAGTAACAATACACATCTTGCATAGGTTTATAGATTTTGTGAAAGGCCAAGAGTGAATTCATATGATCCATTTTTAAAGTGAGATTTTCACATCAAATGGTGCCAGTCTTGTCACAGAGCTGCAAATTGTCTTGAACACAGTTTTACCCCCTAAAGTTCTTAATCCACTCTAATAATTTTTATGCAAGATATAAAAAGGTTTAAATATGATCATATGTCCAAACTAAAACATATTTATTCACTTTTAACTTTCTTTTAAGGTCAGAGACTGTTAATAGCTACTCCTCAGAAACATTGGGTTGATCTGCAGTCTAGGGTGGCAGATCTGACCTAAGATCTAAATCCGTACTTTGAGAAACAGGGAGGCTGGTCAATCCTGTTCCATAGGGAAAAAGACTGCCCAGGCACAGCCCCTGATGGGAAAGGCTCATGTGGAGTAGAGCTTATGCTTTTGCAGCTTCTTACCATCTAGGATACAAGTACATGGTATGGTCGTGTCTAAGCAGCATACAGAAAACAAAACAGATAAAGGAACAGAGCTCTGGAGAAGGAACTTGAAGGCCAGCGGGTTTTTAGACATAACTGGGACATCTCTTGCAGATGGGAGTCACAGGAGACTAGCAAAGGTCTGCTCATCTGCACTGGACTGGGCCAACAACCTGCAGTAGTGAGGGAAGCCGGAGCTGTGCTGGACCAGTATTTCTAAAAACGGCAGACACACTCTATGGACATTAAAACCGTATTCTGAGGAAATGCAAGGAAGCCAGTGTTACAGCCATGTGTCGATACAGGGCTCAGTTTTTTACACAAGGTAAAGTGTGATGGTGAAATAAAAAAAAATAAAATCTTAGAACTGTAAGATTACATTAGTTTATCTGTACATGCCAGCAACATTTATTTCAATACATGCCCCCGCAGGACACAGACGTCCAAAAAACTCCATTCTTAAAGAAGAAGGGTCATTCACATTCATAAAGAGCCAGTGTCCTGCTGGCCTTTTAGCAGCATGCTTTTAGCTGATAATTCCATAATCAAACAGCTGCTCTTTCCCACAGTGGTCAAAACAAGTGTAAAAATTCTGTCCGTTTGCACTGACACTAAACAACCTCACTCAAGTGGCTCTCCACAAGGCATTACCATCACCTAATGTTATTGGTACCTAAGGTTAAAAAGAGATTAATCTTATTTTTCAAATAGCTGAGCGTAAAAGACATGGAAAAAATCATAATGTGAGGAACTGCAATCTTCTAGATGATTTTCTGTCCGGACCATTAGAAACTATGATTTTATTTCATGGAAAGCTGACCAAAACAAATCCCTTTGTTTTCGTAACCTTTCTAATTAGATATAGTCCTGAAAATTATCATACTCCTGGCAAGCAAACCAAGTGTAATTTTCTAATTTAACAAAATTGATTTGTCCTCTACTTACATGCAAGCACAATATTAAAAAAGTACTAATGAAACAATTTATAACCCTTTCCAATGAGAGAAAAATTCTGTTTTGACACACTGTCACCATGCAAAAACAACTCATCTCTAAAATGAAATGAATTCCTTTATTCCCAGAAATCTAGATCTGAAAATTCTCTATTCATCTCACCCCATACTTGCAGTTCATTTCATTGTCCCAGACAAAAAGTTGGCAATTTAAACTGGCCAGAACAGCTGCAATTGATGGGGTCCTCAGTGGAGTGCCAATTATTTATCACAAGTTGTATTTCATTTTTTAAAAAAAACAGTCTGGAATACTTGACTTACAATTTATATATAAATTATTCTATATTTATGTTAACTTCAAATTTGAAGTTACTGAACATCTAATTTAACTCCTGTGGAGTCTGGAGAGAAGAGTCGCTGCTTCACTGATTTGCAGTTTTGGGGGAAAAAAGCAAAATACCAAAGACTACAATTAGCATGCAAGATGAGAGTGCAATTGAAATGGAAACAAAAATATTAATCAGAACTGGTAGAAGTAGGAAAGTTTAACAGCGTATTTGAACTCAGAATTATCTACAGCAAAACTCCAAAAGCTCGTATAATATTGTAAAACGCCTATCCTTCTCTCTCTAAACCTTTTCTTTATCTTTCTAATAAGGCATGGTTTCAATGGTTACACTAGAAGCAAATTCTCCTTTAGCAATACAGGGTGCAGCCAAGTTGTACACAAACCCGAATTCCCTGAAGATCTATGTTTAACTGTAGGACAGAAATGAATGCTTTTTAGTTGTGAAAATCATTCCGTTCAGTATGACTCATTCTGTTCAGTGTGTTTCCTTACATTTTGATGGATCATATTGTACCTATGACTTCTAGAAAGAAAAATGGGAGGCAATGGCACAAAATAGGATTTGTTTTGAAAAAGAATATGAAATATTCTAAAGGTGCCCTCGAGACCTACAGATCTTCTCCAGAAATTTTAATTCACTGTAAGACAATAAAATATTCTGTCTTCAGATGTTACGAGACTATTTGGAAAAAAGGAAATAGTTTTTTTTTGTTTGGGTTCCCCCCGCCCCCATGACTTAGTGTCTAGGACAGTACAGAGGTAAATAAAAGTCTAGGAAAACTGAACTGCTGTTTGGCTCATCTACTGCTGAGATAAAAAAAACACCCACAAAAAGAACTGTTAAAAATCAAATCCTAAGTTACATACAGGAAGCTTTAATTAACAAAGATTGTAACTGAAAAGGATATGAAATACTTTAAGTTAATTCCCTGCCTCAAACCAGTTTTGCACAGATATAGTTCCAAAACTACTAAGATTCAGACCTCTTCAGCCTGCTATTACACAAATACAAAGTGTTGTACAAACACTTGCACCATACAGTAACAGCAAAAGGATTTATACCAGTTCTGGTTTTATTAATCTGAGAATAAAACTATTATTTTCGTAAGAGAAAAGGCAGTACCATAATTTAAGCTTCAGCATAAATGAAGAATGGAAACACAATTTTATATATTAAACACTCGTTGACTAATCAACATTATTGTAGCTCTGCTTCCTGTTCCTAGCATGGGTAATTACTGAAGTGTAAGAACCACAGGCATGGAGAAGCAAAGAAGCACGTGGCCAGTTTAGACTTTTCACTCAGAATTCTTTCACAGAGGAAACACGCATCTTCCTTAAGATATTGATAATGAATGTATATTTTAAAATGGTGAAAATCAGACTTAGTTTAAATAAGGAAAACCATGTTTCAATTACATCTGTACACTTATTCCCACACTCTGAATTACATAGAGTAACAGCATAAAAACTTGGACAACTTAATTTTTCTTACAAGCATTCCTATCTTCAATGTGAATTCTGTTTCACTGGACTCTCCTGCTTAGAACAAAAATTATCCCAATACGTAGAATCCTCAGGTGTGACTGGAATACCAGATGCAACTAAATCTTCAAAAGTCAATAATGTAAACTGCGGTTGGTTAGGCTCCATGGAACATACCTAAGGAAAACACATATTAATATTACATGAATCAATAAATCTCAATTTTCTTTGCGCAATATTCCCTGTCTAGTTTAAACGACACATTGCTTACTGAAGAAGAAAGAAAATATTCCAGTTGAGACTGCTGTCACTGTCCCTAATTTAGGCTATACAGTAACCAATAGAAGCATGTAACAGGCCACACAGAAAAAGTAAGTTTGTCTTTGAAACTCAGTTCAGAAAACTGAAGGAACAAGGAATACAGAATGCTGCAAATAGCACAGAACAAGTGTTTAAGTCCAGAAAAAACGAAGAAAAACCCCACCAACAAACACTGTACTTCATTCTCCGGCAGACATGATTATTTTAGATGATAGTATGAAGATTTATTCCACTACAGATGTGCCTATTCATACTCTTTTTAATACCAGCAATCACTGGGGTTGTGCATGCATGTCTCAAACTCATGCTGTTTAAGGACAAAAGTGGTCACAATCAACCCACAATTCCCCAAGTTAAATCCAGATTAAATACAGACTTAGGTATTAGAGATGAGAGTGTCATGGTCTCTGTGTTACTTCAATCACTTCAAGAAAAATCACATTTCAAAGAAAAAAAGCTTTGGTTTTTTGAGCGTATGTTACCGTTCAGCCTGCTATATGCTATCTGCAATTGTAATTCTTTCAAGATAGCAGGGGAAACAGTACAGCTGCATGAATCAAACATGAATATAGTTGATCCCTCCAAATTTGGCATTTGCTCGTGCAACATATTCTTAATGTTTAATATTTGATAGAATTCAGCAGGGCTACTCTGCAGTGGGGTTATTCTGTACATCACACAAACTGACACATTTTTGATACAGGCTAAGGTACCGTTAACTTCTTGGGAAGCGAATACCGATGCCTGGTAATCACAGAACGGCTGAGATCAGAAGGGACCTCTGGAGGTCATCTGGTCCAACCCCTCTGCTCAAGCAGGGCCCCCTAGAGCTGGTTGCCCAGAACCAGGTCCAGATGGCTTTTGAATATTGGCGTGGACGGAGACTCCACAATGTCCCAGGGCAACCTCCATCACCCTCACAGTGGGGGCGGGGGGGAGAGTGTTTACCCAGGATACCATCAGCCTTCTTTGCTGCAGGGGCCCATTGCTGGTTAATGTTCAGTCTGGTGTCCCCCAGGTCCCCCAGGCCCTTTTCTGCCAAGCTGCTTTCCAGCTGGCTGGACCCCAGCATGTCCTGGTGCCTGGTGTTGTTCCTTCCCAGGTGCAGGACTTTGCACTGCTCCTTCACGAACTTCATAACATTCCAGTTGGCCCATTTCTCCAGCCTGTTGAGGTCTCTCTGGATGGCAGCACAACCCCCTGGCATATCAACCATTCCTCCCACTTTTGTGTTATCAGGAAACTTGCCGAGGGGACACTGCCCCATCATCCAGATCATTAATGAAGGTGTTAAACAGGACTGGATCCAGTATTGACCCCTGGGGTACATCGCTAGTTATTGGCCTCCAACCAGGCTTCAGGCCACTGATCACCAACCTCTGAGTCCAACCATTCAGCCAGTTTTCAATTCACCTCACTGTCTGCTTATCCAGTACATACACCAACATTTTCTCTAGGAGAATCTTATAAGAGACAGTGTCAGAGGTAGAAGGTACTGAAGTCTAGGTAGACAATATCCACTGCTTCCTCCTCATCCACCCAGCCAGTCATTTCATTGTAGACATTTACCGAGTTGTTCAAGCATGACTTTCTCTTGGTGAAGCTATGCTGACTAATCCTGATGATGTCTTTGTCCTTGAAGTGCCTGGAAACGGTTTCCAGAATTAGCTGCTCTGCCACCTTCCCAGAGATTGAGGCTAGGCTGATGGGCCTGTAATTCCCTGGGTGCTCCTTCTTGAAGGGGAAGTGACATTTGCTTTCTTCCAGTCTTTGGGCGCTTCTCCCAGTCACCATGATCAACCAAAGATTATTGAGCGTGGCCTCGCAGTAACATCTGCCAGCTGCATCCCGTAAGAGCTCATGGACTTATGTATGTCCAGTTTGCTTAAGTATTCCCTGACCTAATCTTCTTCCACCGAGGATATAGCTTCCTTGCTCCTTCCCCTCTCATTGCTGGCACCTGGGATTCCTGAAGGCCAGTCTTGCTAATAAAGACTGAGGCAAAGGAGGCATTTAGTACCTCAGCCTTTTCCATGTCCTGGGTACTCAGGACCTCTGTCTCATTGAGCAAAGGGCCCACGTTTTCCCTAGTCTTACCTTTGGCTTCTACGGACTTATAGAAGCCCTTCTTGTTGCCTTGGACGTCCCTGGCCAGATCAAATTCCATTTGGGCTCTAGCTTTCCTAAAAGCTTTTCCTTTTGTCCCTGGATGCTCAGACAATGTTTCTGTATTCCTCCCAGGTCAGTCATCCTTGTTTCCACTGTCTGTTGCCTTCCTTTTTGTGTTTGAGTTTGGCTAGGAGCTCTTTTCTTTATCCAAACAGGCCTCACGGCCTTTTTGCCTGACTTCATATGCATTGGGGTGGAACTCTCTTGAGCTTGGAAGAGGTAATCCTTGAATATGAAGCAGCTTTCTTGAGACCCACTTCATTCTGAGGCCTTATCCCACAGGACTCTTCCAAGCAGATCTTTGAGAAGGTCAAAGTCCACTCTCCTGCAGTTCAGGGTTGTGAGCCCTCCTCCCTGCCCCCAGGATCCTCAAATCTATCATCTCATGTTTGTTGCAGTCAGTGCTGCCTTTGACTTTCACATCCCCAACAAGCCCCTCTTTGTTGGTGAGTAGGAGGTCCAGCAGAGCACCTCTCCTCGTTGGCTCCTCTATCACTTGGATGAGGAAGTTGTCAACGGACTCCA